AGTAGTTAGGTTATAACCGTTTGTAAACACATACACAGATTCCCTTGGTTTCTCTAAACAGAAGTTAGGTTATAACCGTTTGTAAACACATACACATATTCCCTAGGCTCTTCTAAACAGTAGTTTGGTGGAGAGCTATTCCCTACACTTCCTGACATCCTGGTTATCTTTTAACTATTGTTTGGCTAAAAGTTTTATGAACATACACTTATTGTTTAGGTCAATCTGTTTCAAAAGCTTCCTTAGGAACTGAACTTTCATGTACAAATAATGATGATAACTGATTTTACAACCTTCCTCAGACAATTTCAATCTAAACTTGAAAGTTATTATCAATCTCTAAATTTTGTCAATTTCTACTATATTACATTGGTCATGTACATGAATTACAGAATCTGTACATTTTAACTGACAAACAAAAACTTAGCAAGAGAACTTGAAATACCAAGAATAACAGGTTCTTTTGTAAAAAAAAAAATGCCCACTTACAATAATGGTTTACTAGTCCGTAATTTTGTGCTATCTTCATCCTGCACTGATCTTTTTTTTTTCTATCTTTCATTTTTAAGAAAATATCTGGAACTGACTGAAAATGATTGATGAAACACGAACCCTTTCTTCCTGAGGGGAGAATGGAGCAGTTTGAGTTCATGTTCCTCTGTGATCATACAATGCAGAAGTACTCCAACCCCTTCAGCATTCTCCGCTAACAGCAAGTATGGCTTCAAGTCTGCACGCCTCTGAAACAATCAGCAGCATGTTATTGGCTGGAATGTTAGCATTGGCCAGGATGTCTGTAGCAAGCTATTTATCATTGGCCAGGATGTCTGAAGCAAGCTATTTATCCTTGGCCAGGATGTCTGAAGCAAGCTATTTATTATATCATTGACCAGGATGTCTGTAGTAAGCTATTTATCATTGGCCAGGATGTCTGTAGCAAGCTAATTATCATTGGCCAGGATGTCTGAAGCAAGCTATTTATCATTGACCAGGATGTCTGAAGCAAGCTATTTATCCTTGGCCAGGATGTCTGAAGCAAGTTATTTATTATATCATTGACCAGGATGTCTGGAGTAAGCTATTTATCATTGGCCAGGATGTCTGTAGTAAGCTATTTATCATTGACCAGGATGTCTGTAGCAAGAAATTTATCATTGGCCAGGATGTCTGTAGCAAGCTATTTATTATATCATTGGCCAGGATGTCTGAAGCAAGCTATTTATCATTGGTCAGGATGTCTGTAGCAAGCTATTTATCATTGGTCAGGATGTCCGAAGCAAGCTATTTATCATTGACCAGGATGTCTGTAGCAAGATATTTATCAGAATGTCAGCATTGGCCAGGATGTCTGTAGCAAGCTACTTATCATTGGCCAGGATGTCTGTAGCAAACTATTTATTATATCATTGACCAGGATGTCTGTAGCAAGCTATTTATCCTTGGTCAGGATGTCTGTAGCAAGCTATTTATCAGAATGTCAGCATTGGCCAGGACGTCTGTAGCAAGCTACTTATCATTGGCCAGGATGTCTGTGGCAAGCTATTTATCCTTGGTCAGGATGTCCGTAGCAAGCTATTTATCATTGGTCAGGATGTCTGAAGCAAGCTATTTATCATTGACCAGGATGTCTGTAGCAAGATATTTATCAGAATGTCAGCATTGACCAGGATGTCTGTAGCAGGCTATTTATCATTGGCCAGGATGTCTGTAGCAAGCTATTTATCATTGGCCAGGATGTCTGAAGCAAGCTATTTATCATTGACCAGGATGTCTGTAGCAAGATATTTATNGTCAGGATGTCTGTAGCAGGCTATTTATCAGAATGTCAGCATTGGCCAGGATGTCTGTAGCAAGATATTTATCATTGACCAGGATGTCTGTAGTAAGCTATTTATCATTGGCCAGGATGTCCGTAGCAAGCTATTTATCATTGGTTAGGATGTCTGAAGCAAGCTATTTATTATATCATTTACCAGGATGTCTGTAGCAAGCTATTTATTATTTGCCAGGCTGTCTGTAGCAAGCTATTTATCATTAACCAGGATGTCTGAAGCAAGCTATTTATTATATCATTTACCAGGATGTCTGTAGCAAGCTATTTATTATATCATTGCCCAGGATGTCTGTAGCAAGCTATTCATCATTGGCCAGGATGTCTGTAGCAAACTATTTATTATATCATTGACCAGGATGTCTTTAGCAAGGTATTTATTATTTCATTCGCCAGGATGTCTGTAGCAAGCTAGTTATCATTGGCCAGGATGTCTGTAGCAAGATATTCATCAGAATGTCAGCATTGGCCAGGATGTCTGTAGCAAGATATTTATCATTGACCAGGATGTCTGTAGCAGGCTATTTATCAGAATGTCAGCATTGGCCAGGTTGTCTGTAGCAAGCTATTTATCAGAATGTCAGCATTGACCAGGATGGCTGTAGCAGGCTATTTATCATTGGCCAGGATGTCTATAGCAAGCTATTTATCATTGGTCGGGATGTCTGTAGCAAGCTATTTACTATATCATTGACCAGGATGTCTGAAGCAAGCTATTTATCATTGACCAGGATGTCTGTAGTTAGCTATTTATCATTGACCAGGATGTCTGAAGCAAGCTATTTATTATATCATTTACCAGGATGTCTGTAGCAAGCTATTCATCATTGGCCAGGATGTCTGTAGCAAGATATTCATCAGAATGTCAGCATTGGCCAGGATGTCTGTAGCAAGCCATTTATTATATCATTGACCAGGATGGCTGTAGCAGGCTATTTATCATTGGCCAGGATGGCTGTAGCAAGCGATTTATCATTGGCCAGGATGTCTATAGCAAGCTATTTATCATTGGTCAGCATGTCTGTAGCAAGCTATTTATCATTGCCCAGGATGTCTGTAGCAAGCTATTTATTATATCATTGACCAGGATGTCTGTAGCAAGCTATTTATTATTTCATTCGCCAGGATGTCTGTAGCAAGCTATTTATTATATCATTGACCAGGATGGCTGTAGCAAGCTATTTATTATATCATTGGCCAGGATGTCTGTAGCAAGCTATTTATCCTTGGTCAGGATGTTTGTAGCAAGCTATTTATCAGAATGTCAGCATTGGCCAGGATCTCTGTAGCAAGCTATTCATCAGAATGTCAGCAGCAAACTACTAGTGAAAATGTCATTGAAAAACAAAGGAATTCATACCTAGCACTTAGATGTGATGAAAATTTGAAATTAAATTTACAAGAAAATTGAACATAATAAAAGAATAATATTAAATGACCACAATGTAGATTGAATATCAGCTGGTCCCATTCAGAATCAACTTCGCAGTCAGACACTCCACAAATCCACACCCAACCAACTTCGCAGTCAGACACTCAACCATGTTTGCAGTCAACCACTCAACCAACTTTACAGTTAGCCACTAAACCAACTTTGCAGTCAGCCACTCAACTAACTTCACAGACAGCCAATAAACCAACTTTGCTGTCAGCCACTCAACCAACTTCACAGTCAGACACTAAACCAACTTTGCAGTCAACCAACTCTGCAGTCAACCAACTCAGCACTCAGAAACTCAACCAACTCCACAGTCAGCCACTCAACTAACTTCACAGTCAGCCACACAACCAACTCTGCAATCAACCAACTCAGAAATCAACCAACTCAGCACTCAGAAACTCAACCAACTCCACAAGCAGTCACTCAACCAACTCCACAGTCAGCCACTCAACCAACTCCACAGTCAGCCACTCAACCAACTCCACAGTCAGACACTCAACTAACTCCACAGTCAGCCACTCAACTAACTCCACAGTCAGCCACTAAACCAACTTTGCAGCCAGCCACTCAACCAACTCCACAGTCAGCCACTCAACCAACTCCACAGTCAGCCACTCAACCAACTCCACAGTCAGCCACTCAACCAACTCCACAGTCAGCCACTCAACCAACTCCACAGTCAGCCACTCAACTAACTCCACAGTCAGCCACTCAACTAACTCCACAGTCAGCCACTAAACCAACTTTGCAGCCAGCCACTCAACCAACTCCACAGTCAGCCACTCAACCAACTCCACAGTCAGCCACTTAACCAACTCCACAGTCAGCCACTCAACCAATTTCGCAGTCAGCCACTCAACCAACTCCACAGTCAGTCACTCAACCAACTTCGCAGTCAGCCACTCAACCAACTTCGCAGTCAGCCACTCAACCAACTCCACAGTCAGTCACTCAACCAACCTCACAGTCAGCCACTCAATCAAATCCAGTCAGCCACTCAACCAACTCCGCACTCAACCATTCCACCAACTCAGCAGTCAACCAACTCAGCACTCAACCATTCCACCAACTCAGCAGTCAACCAACTCAGCAGTCAACCAACTCAGCACTCAGAAACTCAACCAACTCCACAGTCAGCCACTCAACCATTCCACCAACTCAGCACTCAACCAACTTCTTTGTCTACCACTCCATCAATTGCAACTTTGCAGTCAACCACTCAACCAACTTTGCTGTCAGCCAGTCAACCAACTTTGATAATGATAAATTCCCACTAGTGAAAAGCAAGAAGGCAATAGTGACCTTCTGTACAATTTAAAACCTGTCACATCCTTTTTCTTACTAATTTGACCATTGCCCTATTCAGCACATCAGTTGGAACGCCAGCCCTCTTAGCAGCATCTAAGCATTTGGCGAGTTCTGGATTGAATTTTGGATCAAGTTCTTTTTTTTCTGCAACCAAATAAAATCATATATATCTGGTTATCAAAGGTCTAAATCCAACCAGAGAATACCTAAGTAAATCAATGTGTTATGTATATATTTTCCTGTGTAATCTCATCGGAATACTGGAGTGTCAACACAACAGTAGTTAAAATCTAAATTGATACTAGCCAGAGAAAGTATGAACAAAGGAATGATTTAAAAGGAGAACTGTGGAAATATGGTAAGGAGATAAAGATACGGTATTCTGGGTTTATACATGTTTTCCGCTTCATCAACCAAACCCAACATGTTAGCCATGGTCAATGAAAAGAGATCACTACAAGTGAAAGCCAGGGTGGCTACGTTGAATGTTTGGATTGGCGTGAAAAGTAACAACACTTATAAGCAAAAACAAATGTTTAACAAAATTTCCAAACTGTTCTAGTTTCTAAACTAATGTACATTCATTTATAAAACGTAAAGCACAAATGTTTAACATGTATACTGCTTTAATCTAGCATTAATAATTAGACCGGAGGCCCCTGGGCCTTGAAAGTAGCCTGGGATGTAACAAAATTGTTATCTATTGTTGTGGTGCATCAAAAAATACACAAACTCCTTAGGACCTTTCCATCCATGAAGAGGATTTGATTCAAACATATCGACCACAGCTGTAAAAACCCCAGGGATGAGTCAATTAAGGTCTTAATTTTCATACCATCAAATTGCAATCACACGATGATAATTCCAAGCAAGCCTGAATTACCTATATATCCCACTGAAAATAAATAAAATGTACCCAAAAGTGTTACTACTCTATATAAACAATAGTAAACTGACTCCTTCTCCAGGAAAATCTAGAAAATTAAAGTTTGTAGACTTATGGCAGTGAGAAATGACTCATCAGGACATTGAAACCCTCATGGGAAAAATGACCACCCAAAAAAGTCAAAAATCATTCACTTCAATTTTAGAAGAGCATTAGCTAAGGCAGGGATAATCCTGGAGGGGGCCATCGGGCCATTGACCCCTCAAACCTGAAACTGACCCCTCCATGTTCCAATTTTCTTTTAATTTTACATAGAATGGCCCCTCTTAATTTTGATATTGACTAAAAAAAGGCCCACAGCTCTTAACTTCCAGGATTTTCTCTGTTAGGTAATAATTTCCTTACGCTGAAGGACTCCTTTTATCGTACGAAGATGGTAAGCCCACAGGGTTGCTCGTTTGTCATCTGATCGTCCCTTGATGTGTTTGATATTTGACCAGCGATTGTGTCCAGCCATAGAGTTGGTAGTTGTGTGAATGTTTGCCACTAAGTGTTGGCATGGCAACCATCCATACCGTCCTATATCAATCCCACATCTCGTTTTAGGAGAAACAGTCTTTCTTTTGTCTAATACACAAGATGATGAGGTGCTTAAATTTATCACATTATTAGAGAATAAATAATTCCTTTGCAGAATAGAATAAATCTGTCTCCTGCACAAGTATGTCTGCTTTACAAGTACTTTATTCATTATTTCAATAATCAGTTTCTAGCTCTCTGGGGGAAAGTTCAATGATTACACTTTTTTCACCGCCACATTGGCAGGTGATGAACTGTCCTTCATTAACAGGGCTTTCCTTTTCAATTCCCACTGAAAATAAAACAAATTGTTGTATATCTTATTAGTGATGCATTTCGATTATAAATTTTAAAAATATCCATTTAACTAATATTAGTTCCAGATGTCCTTTCTTTTGTTTTTAGTTTTCTGTTGCAAAACATTTCCTAAAGTGCAAACATATATATATATTTGGCTGCTAAATTTTATTATGAAATGAAAGTAAATATTTTGAAAGACTCTGTTTAGGAATACATTATACTTGCTTGTCATAATAGTAGTTTACTAGTAGACTACCCAGAGGGAGAAATATGGTTTGTACATGTATACATGTACTTAAATGTAGAAATTACCCATTTGAGTACAGTAACAGTTTAATAACTGAAATTGGGAATTAATTGAAATGAAAAAAGTCAATGTCATATGTAGCATATGGTAAAATACATGGACTTTGATAGCTCGAATTTCCTCTGACCCTGACACCAGACTTAGACATTTTGACATTATAAACACCAGATATATCTATTTGTCAAAACGTCGTTGTCAAACTCTTGTGTCAGGGCCAAAGGCAGAGGAATCTCAAGCTGTCGATTTCAATCAATGTCTGCTACCATACAACTCTGATCTACTATTATCATTCTAAATTCCATACAAGTATTGCGATACAATTATTACGGTATTAATTTATACGCCATAAATGATGAAAATGTCGAGTGTGACTGTAACGTACACGGCACTTCTCTCGCAAACTTGTCAAATGTCAGTCCGTCAAAACTGGTTACACATAAGGCCCTATTACACAGTTGCACTTTCGATTCGTTTTTCTTTCATTTTTTTGCAAACGGATATGACTATTGTCATAACTGTAGGTCTATGTTATAAAATCAACGTTACCTCTTTATCCTTCAGCGAAACGTGATTCGAACCTATGCAATTCAAGTCCGTGACTGTTTGCCCTTCCAAAGCGTGAATTAGGTAGTGACCGGAAATGGTTCAAATAAAACGAGAGTTATCTTCCATCTGCCTACAACTGGGAAAGGGTAATGTTAGGATAGCTTACGCCGTGGCGCGGAGTATGTCGTACGTTCGTCAGCTTTTCCTTTAAAATGCCACGACCTTTATTGGGTTAAGGTGACTCAATGCTGTATAAAAAGAAGGCATGCCCCTACTCTTAATCAGCCAAAAGGTGTAAATAGAGGTGAGTTTTTTATGCCTGCCACAGGAAGTTTTTCTGGGTTCCGTTCCCACCACTCCCCTTAGGAAATTTGGGTAGGCCTAACTTACTGTCTTGGATCGATATGGTCAATATACCCACACTAAAATCGTATACTAATACTCTTATGAGTATCAATTTATGCTACCACATCTTGCCCCGGCGTCTGTCGCCACCTCTTGGGGTTAGAACCCATGTGCTACATAACACTAACGTTAGGCGACATATTTTGTTACATAAAATGGGAACTTGTGTCATATCTACAAAACATTTAAGATCCCTACATTATATCCATAAAGATCAATAAAGATCCATGAGGCACCCGACCTTGTTCTTGCTCGTCTTAATTCCCGCCACATTTCATCGAAGCAACACAACCTCTGGGTAGACTGTTGGACGCTGCTCACACGTAGCCATGGTATTGTGGTATTTATGTTTTGCTCGACATGCGGATTATCGCCCGATTATCGCCGGATACTTTCTCAGAACTCATTCTGAATGCTACCGATTTACCGAACGCAGGTAGTAGTGATGAAAATTAAATCCGTTCAAAACTGTTTCGTAAAGATTGCACGATCTTGTATTACATATAAGCGTATATTTTGTTATAAATCAATATAAATAACGTGAAATAAGCATCGTGTTGAGCCTTTATCGTTAAACGCATGTATTAATAGCCATGGCCTTAAATTCGTCTGTTTACAATAATCTGTTGTTAGACACAGGATTCCGATATAGCTACCTGTATAAAAATACCTGAGGACGCGTCATAACAGTGCACGGTTGGATGCGCGCACTAGCGTAACATAACTTTGGGGAAATAGTCATAGCAACCCGCCATACCTCTTTCATCAATGGTAATTACTTGGTCCAATTCTTCATATAATAGTACTTCATCTGAATGAGTGTGAGATTAATCAGATTCTTTATCAGAGTTATCGTTCCTGGCCAAAGTTTTGAAGTGCTCAAATAAAAGTTTCAATTCAATATCTGGTTTCTTGGACTTAGTTGCAGTGAAGTTGTTGTAAAATTCCTTAGGATTGTTAAATCTCATATATTCAAGCATGTCGCCTTCACACTTTAAGTACATTCTTTTTTTCATAGATTCTTTTAATTTATAGTTCCTTTTCTTCTCCACAAGCAGAGTATGATTAAATACATTTTTTTTCCTTATTGAAGTTATACAGAGCTGATTTGTACAAGTTATACAAAGTTTTCAATTCTATATCAAACCATGGTTTGTCAGTATTAAAATTGATTAACCCATCTCGGCATGTATAATTATGGTTATCTTGCTTGGCATCACAATCTTTAGCTAATTTTAGTCTGTAGTCTGGGCACCATACCAATACCATCAAATGCAACAAATCGAAAACGTAAAAAGACAGGCAGCACGATTTGCCACAGGGAATTACTACTCCCGAGACCCTGGTTGCGTTACTACCATGTTTAAGCAACTAATCTGGGAACCACTAGAACAGAGAAGAGTGAGAAATAGGATCATCATGTTCTACAAAATCATCAACAACCTAGTAGAAGTCCCCGTCCATCATCTCCTACAACAGACCACAGGGGGGCTAGGAGTTCCCAAGCCAACAACATCAGGCAAATAAGCACCAGAGTCGACGCATATAAACATTCATTCGTCCCTGCTACGATCAAGATGGGGAACTCAATACCATCAGATATCAGAAGATTACCAACAGTAGACAGTTTCCGACACCACATACATGTGGCCGGACTCATCCCCAGGCACTAGACAGGACTCCGGATTTTAACTGTAAATACCAGATTTAAGATGAACATACAGACATATTTAAATAGCAAAGTTTTAAGCTGTATGGCCAATAAGCGCCGGAGAGCCCGGAGTAGTGACACTCATCTGATGAGTCAACTCTGTAACGGTAAGAAGTTGAAGAAGTTTTCAGTCCAGTCACTTCTACATAACCTATGTAAAATCAAAATTTCCGACGGAGCGGTTCTCAGTGCGTGTGCACACGCCGGCCGTCATCTTTCCTTCCTGTATTGAGACTCATAACCATGTTGTTATAATTGGTCCCCGAGTCTGCCTCTGGTCCTGGGGACATTCACGTTGTTATAATTGGTCCCCGGGTCTGCCTCTGGTCCTGGGGACATACCTGTTGTTATAATTGGTCCCCGGGTCTGCCTCTGGTCCTGGGGACATACCTGTTGTTATAATTGGTCCCCGGGTCTGCCTCTGGTCCTGGTGGCATACTTGTTGTTATAATTGGTCCCCGAGTCTGCCTCTGGTCATGGGGACATGCATGTTGTTATAATTGGTCCCCGTGTCTGCCTCTGGTCCTGGGGACATGCATGTTGTTATAATTGGTCCCCGTGTCTGCCTCTGGTCCTGGGGACATGCATGTTGTTATAATTGGTCCCCGAGTCTGCCTCTGGTCATGGGGACATGCATGTTGTTATAATTGGTCCCCGAGTCTGCCTCTGGTCCTGGTGACATACATGTTGTTATAATTGGTCCCCGAGTCTGCCTCTGGTCCTTGGGACATACATGTTATTATAATTGGTCCCCGAGTCTGCCTCTGGTCCTGGGGACATGCACGTTGTTATAATTGGTCCCCGGGTCTGCCTCTGGTCCTGGGGACATGCATGTTGTTATAATTGGTCCCCGGGTCTGCCTCTGGTCCTGGTGGCATACTTGTTGTTATAATTGGTCCCCGAGTCTGCCTCTGGTCCTGGGGACATACATGTTGTCATAATTGGTCCCCGGGTCTGCCTCTGGTCCTGGGGACATACATATAGTGGCATGGTTATGATATAGAAATGGTAAAGATCCCCACCATACATAACATTATCGAGCCTGAAGAAAAGAAAGCACTCATGCTACTATAACTTACCAAGGGGTCCTGCCTTTTCTTTGGTCTTAACCTGAAACTACTTGATGTCCCCGCCCTAAACCCATACATAAGGTATTATACAATTATGCACTTTTGTGCTGGTGAATGCGATGTGATATGAACCTGAAAAAGTGATATTGGCCCAGGCGAATTGAAAGATACAGTTCAATCTTTATACATCTGTGAATCTTTCACTATAAAACAGCAGATTGAATACACAATAAATGTACATGTTAAAAATGTCAGGCCTTAAGGCAGAAGACCTTCGGCTTACATTTTCCCAAATATTAGTTTGGAGCAAATAAAACTGTTGATGATGTCACTTAGGCCTAGCTTGACGTCAGTAATATTATGTTTACATTAACTCCTCGTGAACAAAAACACTGTATTTGTTAGGATATGTATTTACTACTTTTTATATAGATATACGTACCCCAATGACATTACGACCAACCACATAATGACGTCATTGGTACATTACCGACAATGAGAAACTGGATTTTCAGTTGCCTTAAGTTATAGTTAGTTATTATTGCCTATTATTACATACATGTTGAACCTTGCTATGATACACCTATTTTTAATGCCAAGCTGTACAAGGTTCCCTATTTCACAGGATGATGATACATTTGTTTTTACAAAAAGTTTGGTTTGGTTTTGTTAGTTTGTGTTTTACGTCTTATTAACTGTTACATGGTCATTCCAGGACATGCCCGGTTTAGGTGGTGGATGAAAGCCGGATACCCGGGGAAAACCAACAACCTACCGTCAATATCCAGCGACTGCCCCACGCAGGTCAGCAGCCAGAAATTATTTTAGTGTTGAAATTCATCGCTAGTTATCCACTGATCAAATCGACAGATTGACACAAAAAAAGAGTTCAGACTATTTTAGCGCCAGATACGGTAGGATAACGTGACGTCAGTAGACGTGGTTTGTCCACCACTGTGGTCCGGGTCATGTTCTCAGGATGCTGGCCAAACATTAATGCGGGAGGTTAATAATAAGTGTTTTTGCAGAAAATATGAAATGCATTCAAAGAACAATTATATGTATACAGTAAAATAAATACACCATATATGTGTTTACATGGCGTATCCGACTGCACCTGTTTATTGTAAGAATATATACATAAATCAAACGCGTGAAATAAACACAAGTGTGGTCGACCGTATTTATCTCTTAATATTTACATTCTGTATGCTTAGACCCATTGACAAAAATTACATTCATAAATGTATAACACAGGTGTTCATAGAATCTCACCACGTGGGAACTGATAGTAACCTGATCACGCTGCGTAGTAATACACTACAAAAACTACTCACTCGGAACGACCGAACTAGATACTTAATTCTTACATCTTAAAATATTATTGAACTGTGCTTTGTGAAATATCCACGTATTCAGGTGTCCTGTGCTACAAATAAACATTGAATATGGAACTACATTTTGTTGTGTTATTGTTGTTGGCGGTTGCTAAGATCTCTCACGATAGTGTCACATTTCCCCGCGAAAAAACCCTGTTCTCGCCACTGCGTTGCACCCGTGTATAAGCAGGAACAAATCCTGTTTATTTGTTTTATTCGTTGTTATATCGATCCACTGAAAGGATTCGTCAATGTAAATATAAGGAATGATATTTATTTTTTCCACATTTATGAGGTCAGAACAACAATGGGTTTTTGGACATATTTTACATGAATCGCTAACGCGATTCATTCAATATGTCCATAAACCCATTGTTGTTATGACCTCATAAATGTTGAAAAAATAAAAATCATTCCTTAATTAACTACTTTTATCTGTATGAATATTTTAAGAGCAGTAAATAGACACACCCTGGTAATCTAGGTTTTAGTGAATTAGATCATAGTGTGATATTTAAAAAAATAAACATATATAGATAAAAAGTCCTCTGAATTTCGCCTGATTCCAATAAAACTACTTCAGCAGCAATACTTTGGTTTCGTCCATTTACGTCTCTGCACCCCTGGAACGTGTCGTTGCACAATTATAGACTCGAAGTTAGATCTTTGACTGCTTTCGTGTAACAAAAAGCAACTGACCAATCGCTGACCTGATACCTGTCCTTTAAACATTAAAGTTGAGCGACTTCTGACTTCAAAGCCGGTCATTTTACCGTCACACTGCCGCGCGATGTGATGTACATCAAAGCATCAAGTTAGTGTACTTGTATAATTCACGAGACAGTGCATACAAAACCTGTCATGCCATGTCCCAGACGTACAGAGTAGCAATTCCACTGCCATATATTTCTATTTTGCGAAACGTGTGTGGGTGTACCATACTCGATACTGTTATAATCAAATAGGAAAAGTGTTGATGAGAATTCATAAACAGGACATTTGTCCCAACTTTTTTTAATATCTACTTGTGAATCCATTCCATTATCAAATCAGAAGTGTGTTCTGTTAACAAATATATATCTTTGGTTTGTTAAAAAAACCTTCGCTTGTATTTCTTTATTGTGCCCTATCACGGTCCATCATGTCATTAATAACGGTCAACAAGTAACACTTCGTATGTTTTCTAGTCTTCTGTTAACCAGATTTTCTACTCCAACCCTGTAGCTACAGATTCTATTATGAACATTCCGAAGATCCTTTAATACATCTCGACAAATTCGCATGTACATTTCAAGCTCGACTTAAACCATTAAGACTTCTTCAAAAATAGCATTTGTCCATTGGTTAACAATTGTCTTCTTGCTGGATCTGTACTCTATTACTTTTACTTTGCTGTGTATGGCAGTGACGCGGCGGTTCCTAACATCGCGGGGGGCAAATACCAGTCCTAGCGGAAACCATAACGGCAACTTAAGAACCAGTCCTAGCGGAAACCATAACGGTGACTTAAGAACCAGTCCTAACGGAAACCATAACGGCGACTTAAGAACCAGTCCTAGCGGATACCATAACGGCGACTTAAGAACCAGTCCAAGCGGATACCATTACGGTCACTTAAGAACCAGTCCTAGCGGATACCATAACGGTGACTTAAGAACCAGTCCTAGCGGATACCATAACGGCGACTTAAGAACCAGTCTTAGCGGATACCATAACGGCGACTTAAGAACCAGTCCTAGCGGATACCATAACGGCGACTTAAGAACCAGTCCTAGCGGATACCATAACGGCGACTTAAGAACCAGTCCTAGCGGATACCATAACGGCGACTTAAGAACCAGTCCTAGCGGATACCATAACGGCGACTTAAGAACCAGTCCTAGCGGATACCATAACGGCGACTTAAGAACCAGTCCTAGCGGATACCATAACGGCGACTTAAGAACCAGTCCTAGCGGATACCATAACGGCGACTTAAGAACCAGTCCTAGCGGATACCATAACGGCGACTTAAGAACCAGTCCTAGCGGATACCATAACGGCGACTTAAGAACCAGTCCTAGCGGATACCATAACGGCGACTTAAGAACCAGTCCTAGCGGATACCATAACGGCGACTTAAGAACCAGTCCTAGCGGATACCATAACGGCGACTTAAGAACCAGTCCTAGCGGATACCATAACGGCGACTTAAGAACCAGTCCTAGCGGATACCATAACGGCGACTTAAGAACCAGTCCTAGCGGATACCATAACGGCGACTTAAGAACCAGTCCTAGCGGATACCATAACGGCGACTTAAGAACCAGTCCTAGCGGATACCATAACGGCGACTTAAGAACCAGTCCTAGCGGATACCATAACGGCGACTTAAGAACCAGTCCTAGCGGATACCATAACGGCGACTTAAGAACCAGTCCTAGCGGATACCATAACGGCGACTTAAGAACCAGTCCTAGCGGATACCATAACGGCGACTTAAGAACCAGTCCTAGCGGATACCATAACGGCGACTTAAGAACCAGTCCTAGCGGATACCATAACGGCGACTTAAGAACCAGTCCTAGCGGATACCATAACGGCGACTTAAGAACCAGTCCTAGCGGATACCATAACGGCGACTTAAGAACCAGTCCTAGCGGATACCATAACGGCGACTTAAGAACCAGTCCTAGCGGATACCATAACGGCGACTTAAGAACCAGTCCTAGCGGATACCATAACGGCGACTTAAGAACCAGTCCTAGCGGATACCATAACGGCGACTTAAGAACCAGTCCTAGCGGATACCATAACGGCGACTTAAGAACCAGTCCTAGCGGATACCATAACGGTGACTTAAGAACCAGTCCTAGCGGATACCATAACGGTGACTTAAGAACCATTCCTAACGGATACCATAACAGTGACTTAAGAACCAGTCCTAGCGGATACCATACATTTTTATGTAACGACGACTTAAGAACCAGTCCTAGCGGATTCCATAACGGCGACTTAAGAACCAGTCCAAGCGGATACCATTACGGTCACTTAAGAACCAGTCCTAGCGGATACCATAACGGTGACTTAAGAACCAGTCCTAGCGGATACCATAACGGCGACTTAAGAACCAGTCTTAGCGGATACCATAACGGCGACTTAAGAACCAGTCCTAGCGGATACCATAACGGCCATTTAAGAACCAGTCCTAGCGGATACCATAACGGCGACTTAAGAATAAGTCCTAACGGATACCATAACGGCGAATTAAGAACCAGTCCTAACGGAAACCATAACAGTGACTTAAGAACCAGGCCTAGCGGATACCATAACGGTGATTTAAGAACCAGACCTAGCGGATACCATAACGGCGAATTAAGACCCAGTCCTAGCGGATACCATAACGGTGATTTAAGAACCAGTCCTAGCGGATACCATAACGGTGACATAAGAACCAGTCCTAACGGATACCATAACAGTGACTTAAGAACCAGTCCTAGCGGATACCACAACGGTGACTTAAGAACCAGTCCTAGCGGAAACCATAACGTTGACTTAAGAACCAGTCCTATCGGATACCATAACGGCGACTTAAGAACCAGTCATAACGGAAACCATAACGGTGATTTAAGAACCAGTCCTAGCGGATCCCATAACGGTGACTTAAGAAGCAGTCCTAGCGGAAACAGTAACGACGGCTTAAGAACCAGTCCTAACGGATACCATAACAGTGACTTAAGAACCAGTCCTAGCGGATACCACAACGGTGATTTAAGAACCAGTCCTAGCGGATACCATAACGGTGACTTAAGAAGCAGTCCTAGCGGAAACCGTAACGACGGCTTAAGAACCAGTCCTAACGGATACCATAACCGCGACTTAAGAACCAGTCCTAGCGGATATCATAACGGTGACTTAAGAAGCAGTCCTAGCGGAAACCATAACGGCGACTTAAGAACCAGTCCTAG